GCAAACTCCAGGGAGAAAGAGACTCCGAAATCTGATTTTTTGTGTGAATTACAGTGGGTGCAAGTTCACATATAGACAAGAGTGAACCTCAGCGTGCTTGGGCCAGCTGATCTACCTACTGCTGCTGCCAGCACCCACATTACCCATGCCAGCTCGGAGCAGGAGGGCGCAGTCCTGCAGCGGTGCTAGCCCAGCTCACTCGGAGCTCTGCCTGTCCCGGCCAGCCACACCTCCTCACCCCTCCCTGACGCCAGCACGGTGGCTCCGTTTACCCCATGCCGAGCATTTAGTGGGGAAAAAGTAAATCCACGGCTTTCTGCTGTCTTATCTGCCACACTGAGGGTTTGGATGCCCATCCCTCTTGTGGGAGCAGGAAGGTCAGCAGCATCATTAAGCTGCCAAGCAGCTTCAGGGCATTTGCGGGCTGCCGGTGCATTCAGAGCGTGTCTTGCAGTCCAGAGGCCTGAAACGGGCAGGGGCAAACGCCAGGGAGAGGAGAGGCAGGTGTCCTGGGCGTGGGGCAAGCTGCAGCGACTTCTGCCCAGCGGCCGTGACTCCATCTGGCAGCTGAAGCAGGGGAAAAGGGCATGCAATGCATGGTCCCTGTAGCTTGCTGCACCTCCAGCGCACAGCCTGGCATGGTGGGAAGCTCTGACCTTCTCCAGACCAATGCCACCATGGCCCCGTCCCCTCTGCTGGCAGGAGTGTCAGCAGGCAGGAGGACTATTCCATGCGCTCACCCTGCCTTGAGCCCTCGCAGATGAAGGTGTCACTAGGAAATTTTTGAATCATCAAAGAAATAATCAGCGTTACTCACTGCCTGCCACGTGGGAGTATTTACCCACAGTAATGAAGAGAGGAGAGAGGCAGCCAAAGGTGTGGTCTGGATCCAGAAAGTCTGGCGACACTGCTGGGAAGTGGTGACAGCTGATCCCTGCCCCAGTTACACAGGGAGACCTCCTCAGATGTGAGGGTTTGGCTCCCCTGTATATCCAAAGGAAAACCCCTGGTCACCTGTGTCTCCGCTGTGGTTTTTTTTTTGCATGCAATGGAGAATAACAAATCAATCCTTCTCCCTCCCACTCATGGAGCAACCTCAGGGTGAGTGGGGAGGCAGAACAGAGACTATCATCATCTCTGTAAAACCCGTCTGGCAGCAGGGAGGGAGCTAAGGATGAAAACGAGTGTGGTACTTGCCCTCCCCTTTTTGACTTGCCCCCTCGTGCAGCGGGAGGATGACTGTGGGCTCTGGGCTGGGGCTGCACGAGAAAGGCAGTGCTCTGTTCCCGGGGTACTGCGGTGCTTGTGGGTCCCCAGCATCTGCTGGTATGCAAAAGCTCTGGGAGGAGCAGCAAGACAGGAGTTAAAATACCGGTGAGAGCGCAGAAAGCCAGGAGGCCGAGAACAGCCTTGAAATCCAAGAAAGGCAACAGATAACAGCGAGGAACTGGCAGGTGCTGGGTGGGGTGGTGACAACACCAAGGCCACACCACAGGTAAGGCCACCAGGCAGAAGTGAAGCAAGAGCGATGTGGTGCAATCCGGCTTGGCCTCCCGCCCTCGGTGCCCAGCCAGATGGACAGCCTGCAAACATCTCCGTGGTCCCCTGGGAGGCAAAGGCCTGATGAGGGCTCTTGGTGTGATGAGTTGATCCAGGCAGGCGGGTGGCACAGACACGGGCGGGTGGGTGACCGTGAGTCCTTCTTGCAGGGCTGCAGCTGGTGGGGGTGTGGGGAGGTGGTAGCAGAGCCAGGACCCTTGCTCCTGCCCCAGGAGAAGCTGGAGGCGAGTCCGAGTGCAGCCCCGGACACAGGGATGGGGAGCAATCCCAAACACAAGTACAGGCTGGGTGGAGAGTGGCTCGAGAGCAGCCCTGAGGAGAAGGACTTGGGGGTACTGGTGGATGAGAAGCTCAACATGAGCTGGCAATGTGCACTTGC